ATTTGTGCTTGTCGAAAAATAGTCTCCATATCGGTCCTTTCAGCTTTCTTCATAAAAAAAACCTTCGTAAGGTAACTTTAGTTGTGTCTGATCTCCAATTATTTGATGGATCTTAGCCTCCGTCAATTTCATCGTTTTTTTTTTTCTGGAAAGATTTAAGATTTTCTCATTTACCCTATTTATCCGTGTCTAAGTTGACTTTTTATGACCGAAAAATCAGCCCAAAAAATCACCCCCGACTTATAACCCGAGCAATCCAATAAATTAGCATGACAATTGCCTGAAGCCCATTAGGAAAACCGAGTTTACAAAACCAGTTCTAGATGTGTTCGTTTCGTCAGTTTTTAGCGCGTTCTTCATCGACGAAAAAGTTTAGAATAATAAATTGTATGTGGCGTGAACACAAGCCTACTGGAGCTGATTTCTATTGTACCTTCTGATCTGTAGAGCAGACATTTTTCCTCACAGCTTCGCTACTGTTTACGGTGCCGAACTTTCATTGTCATCGAACGCTTACAGTAGTTTAGTGACCTTTTTCTCGCGCGGTCTCGTCTGATAGGGCTGTGTTTTCATCAAGCGATCCTTCGAAGCTCTTCGGTGTTCCTTCGGTCTACTAAATCTCCTTTCAAACTCAACATTAAGATAAAGGTTATTTAAATGCATGAAGATTTCATCTTCATAGCGATTTACAAAATATGGTAAATTTCTTCTCCAGTAAATCGAAGTGCTCGTATATGCTTAAATCGTGAATCGTGGTGATGTAAACAAGCGCTACAAAACTTCACAGCACATGGTTACATTTTGCTCTGCAGTTTTTTCTAATTCACCGTGTTTTCAATACATTCTCAGAAATAAGAGATCAACCATTGGGGAAATTTCTATNAATGCAGCTTAACAGGTTGTGGGGCTCCACCAATTTGACTCTTATTGCTGTTTCTGCAGTAAAGAACTTACTCCACTACATCCATGGGAACGCATCGATGTAGTGATAAACAAGTAATTTTTCTTTAGGGACCATTATTGTTTCCTGTAGAGTTTTTTTGCTAAGTAGCCATTCCATAGTGTTTTTGACATTTGTGTATGCTGCAACAACACCATTGTGTTCAGTAAAAGTCAGTGACAAACTTTCTTGCAGAGCCTCCTTTTGTACCTTGAGCTTTTCACATACGTCATGTTTTGGTACCATGATATTGATTCCAAAAACATGTTCTAGTTCTTTACCAAGCTGATTTCGGACTGTGTTTTGATATTTAGTGTAGCCAATGTCAAAATTACTTACTAGTTCAGCTGCAAACTAGACAAAATGATTGAAATTCTTCTTGAAAATGACTGGCATGAGTGCCCTCTTAAAAAACTCTCCATCTTTACGTGAAATAATTAAGTCGACCAGCTCAGCTTTTTCTTGTGGATCTTAATTGGGGCATGTTTAAATCGTCAATAAAATGAACCCATTTTCTACATTTTGCGGGAGTCAAAATTTTTTTCCTTGGAGTGATAATTTGGGGATATACTTTCACCATGTGGTTTGGAATAAAGGGTAGAAACTGACTGTTGTTTCAAGCAATAAAGAAGCGAGTCTGGGTAACCCTCCGCCACCATCTTAACAAGGGATTCCAATTCTCCTCTTTACTTGCTTTCTGAAACTGAGCCCTGTGTAAGCTTACTTCTTGATAAGAGAAATGAGAAAGTTGACACGTGCCTCGCAATGCTACACAAAACCAACAGTTGAAAATCCATCTGGTGTTAAAAGTTTCAAAAGTTCTTTAAGCCTCGCAGAGCGGTGGTGGTGCGGGACGTCTAGGAAATTGTTTGCTGCAGCAACAGCTTGCAGCGGTGGGTTTCTTACGTTTTCTTCGCGCCTGTGGCTTGGGTGGGTCTGAAAATGTTTCCTTAATCCACGACCTGTTTGGTAATTGTTTCTGCAGTCGGAACAATTGAAGACCTTGGGCATCGTGATGAGAAGTATGCTCAAACCTCTAAAACTTTTTGTGCATCTAGTGATGACGTGATCGTATTAAAGCCAGTAGGGGTCACGCGACGTGGCACTTTAACTTCCCAAACTATTTTTATGGGTTAATACACGTGATATCAAACTCCCTTAAGCCTTATGTTTTGCTCAGGGATGCAACTCTGCCACGACCTTTCCGCCAGATTCAAAGGTCATTTATAATTCGTGATGAAACTGTTTGCGAATCGTCGCGCGTGTTGTTAAAATCATAGCTGGGAAATGTAAACAAGCGCATCTTGTTCGACACTGCAGTTAACTATCTCAAGAAAAAAAACCACGCCGTTAGCATCGCCTTTTTATAATTTTATTAGTAATGTAAGGTTTTGTGTTCTTCAGTCGGGGATAGCTTGAGTTCAACCGCCGTTTATTCTAAACTCCGACGGTTATTACAGGTAATATAACCGGATGTACGCAGGCTAGTCGGGGGTCGCGAACGAACTTCTGTCAGAGCTGGTGATTTAAACGATTTATCTTCAAGCTGGGAAGTAGTATACCTGCTTTACGCTTTTAAAATTATAATAAAGCCTATTTAAACCCAGTGTTCAAGCTTCACTACAAGAAAAAAGGTTATTTTTCCCTGGGGGATGACCAAGCAAACAATAAAAACAAACCGACGCCATTTTTTCTGCGCGTGTTTTTTACAAAGGAGACTGGAGCTAGTTCCCCCCAATTTTTAACCCAGCATGCCCCGCAACTTCCGGTAGAAATCAGCAGGTTAGCCAAGGGGTGAACAGTTCTCCAATAGCTGACTGATTTTCATGGCAGTTTTTTCTTACAATTCAACACTACTGGTACTGACTCTGTTTTAGCTTCAAGGCAAGATACCTCGTCATGACTTTCATGAGGTGATGGAAGATGACCACAAACTGTAAGAGTGGCTTTATTCACTTCATAGCTTAGGAGTTGCACTTGTAACAAACACTCCGCTGCAGACTGGTGAATGCTTTAAATTGTGCAGTAGAGTTGGATTTTCTAAAACCACCCATTACGGGTAGGTGTAGGTGTTTTTTTCCTTTTTTTTTCCTTTGTACATAAATATATATATGTATGTATGTATGTATGTATGTACGTATGTACGTATGTATTCATGTACGTATGTATGTATGTACGTACGTACGGACATTTGTATGTATGTATGTACGTACGTACGTACGTACGCATGCATGCATGCATGCATGCATGTATGTATGTATGTATGTATGTATGTATGTATGTATGTGTATCTATGTG